TTTTTGTTCAAGACTCCTTATTACATTAGATTGGAAAAAACTTTTATTACTAACTATTGAATTTGAACAAGAGTAGTTTTATTGTAAAGAAATTTGGGTTCTTGCGTTGTGTTTTGGTCCGCTACCCGTAATTAGTTTTGGTTTATAGATTGTAGATTGTATTAATGAGTTTATGTTTATTAATAATGAATACCACTTTTACTCCACTTTATATATTTGAAATAAATTATTTCTTTTGTATATTTAATTTATGAACTTCTTCATACGATGTTTCTTTTGTTTTCTAGTATAGAGTATTAAAGCGATGAATTTTTTAAAATTGCATAATTTGATTGGTTAATTATCACGGGTGAGTATATGTATGACCTTATCTATTACTGTCAAAATTAGATTCCCGCACGTTAATTCTGAAGCCTATCATTGAATCTATTATGCCGAAATCACGTCTTTGCCAAATTAGCCGAAAAACCATTCTGATAATTTTTATCAGGTGTTTCAGGAATTATGATAATAGCAGTAAAATAAGTAATCCGGTATTTCCCGAACTCAAGGTCAAGAAATTTTTCAATACCAAATCCGAAAGTTCCAGTTTAAATATTTGGAGTACAGATTGCTCTTTATGATAATCGTTCTAATTAAGAGTCGTTGTATCAACTTTTAAGGATCAACTTTCAAAACATTATGAATTTCTGCGTGACCCGTTGATACCTGACCGCCCGGGCCGGTATCTTCTAACCCAGGTAAGAATTCACATTGAGTCTTCAGTAGCATTCATATTTTTTGCAAAATGCACGAAACATCCTAATCACGTGTAGGCAACATAAAGAAAGTGGAAACGCACCATATATTGCCTTTTATGCAAAGTTTATTTATTTCAAATTGACTGCATCACCATTTGAAAATAAGCAAAGATAAATAATCGCAAATCACTAGCCCAAAACACAATAATAGGTAGATAAAGAAATAATATATGAACCTAACCCATAACGAGAAGAAAAAGCGTGTGCCCTCCCAATCGTTGGCTACATCACGCCACTCTTTACAAGTTAATATAAAAAAGTTATTGGGTTATTAATATTTAAAGATATTAAATTTAATATTGACGGAGATTTTTTCTTTGTCCATGGTGTATATTTACATCGAGAACAGATAAACTAATGTTTTTATAAAATTGAAATATCCTATCATTATGTTTTGCATTGAAAATTCATATATAAAAATGCTATACAAAATTTTGTAATTTACTGCATATGCTTAGTATAACTTAATCTTTAAAAAAGTAAAAATTACAAGGCTATAAAATAAATAGTGATTCTTAAATATTATAAGGCGCCAACCTAATATATATTTATTTAAAGGAAGGAAAGCCCTGAAATTAACTCCGTTGAAAATTGGACACTTTGTGGTAGTGGATTTTCTATACTTTGGGTTCTAGTGAATGGATATGTGCCTTCAACTAGATCTGCGTAACTTTGAACTGCAATGGAAATATTGTTGAATAGATTCTGGGTTCTACCGGTATTTGAGGCTCTTTGAAGGTGGCCATTAGTGTTTTGATGTCTTCCGATATTCTGAGGACCATGTGGCTGGCTGTTATTATTTTGTAGTTGAACGTTAATAAGTTGAACTGTTGATTGGTTCATATTTAGAATTTTTTTAAAATTTTTTGTTAGAGAAAGAGATGAAAAAATAGAGTTTTTATATTTTTCATAAATATCAAGTTTAAACGTTACCGGAGGTTTCAATTTGGATACATACCCAAGGAATCAGTATCAAAAACTAATATGCAGAAGGGTAGAGCGCACATTAAAAATTTTAAATTCATAAATATATGTTTTAATTACATTTGTTGTATAAACATAATGAAATAATTAATAATATATTGTATACCATATCAACCTAATGTTATAATGAAATAAAATAATTAAATAATTGTACAAAAAATTAAAAAATTTTGTGCGCGCTGCAACGCACCAGAATTGATACGTAATGTGCGCTTATTTACAATTCAGTCAGGCACATTACCAAAAAATGGAAATCGATTCTAGATTGTTCTATTGAAAATGCAAGGGAGTTCTGGAGTTATGGAGTTTGGTAAACGATAACGATAAAATCTGTAGATGATGACGAATTAATATCTATTAATTTTAAAACGTCCATTCAAAGAAATATTGCATAGCATGGAACGAAGAAGTCGGAAATCGAAAATTTTCAAGTGGCAATGATAAATTTGATTGTAATAGACATTCTAAAGCGGGATATCATTATGGCAATGCTGAAATCTAATTAACTGATTGATATAAAATTTTGATTATGTGATTTTAAATGCGCTAAGAAATTATCGCTATTACTTCTCATTAAAATGGCCGACTTTACTTAATGACATATGGTTAGATTCTAGAAATTGAAACTTTATTGGTGCGTATGGATAAATTAAGGATATGCATCTTGCACATTAATTCATGTAAATTTATGATGCTAATATGCTTGCTGATTTCCAGTTCATTTTGAAATTTATTATTATGTTACATAATATCCTCGTTTGATTTCCTATGCATGAAAATTTAATTCTGATTAGAGGTGCAGAAAATTGGTGCCGTAGGGTTACGTCAAAAAGATGAGCGGTTACGTCAAAAGTGTCGTAACAGCGTATGTCGTAATAGCCGACATATGCCGAAACTAAGTCTTTGTTCATAACTCTGATATTAGACGTGATGCA